AAACTGCAGAAGAAACCAGACAGAAAGTGAAACTACAGGCTGGAGTATAATCAGCCACCATTAACTTCAACTTTCAGCTCCATTCTGACCCGCCTACAGTGTATGAGAACGGCTCACTGGGTTCATTAACGCTTCAGAACCGCGCTGTTTCTCTCTGTGGGCTTTCTAAATATACTGATGAGCAGAACGCCTGGCTTCCTCCATCACAGCGTTCAGACCAGCAACCATCCAGAACTGCTGTGCTGTGAAACAGCAGCAGCTGCTTTATCATTGTTAGGTTCAAATCCAAATACTTCTGCTAGAAACCAGAACCAGTCCAGTTCTGGTCGAATCTGATCTGTATGTGACCCACATATAAACCATCTGTTCTGGATCAGCTCATCTCTCACCAAAGTTTTACCTTTAAAAGGTTCTGCCTTTTATAATCATACAAAACTTATTTATTTAGAGTTAAATTGGATGATTTACCATAAAACTTGTAAATTCTGGTCTAAATTTTTAGGCTCGAAAGGTTCTGATGAAATAACTCGGGCTGTCGCTTCTTTTTTCTGGACATGATGTAAAAAATAAAAAGACAAAGTTAGCAGGACTCTAAATTTAACAAAGTTCTGTTAAATTTTGCGTTAATGACGGCAGTTTTTCCTTCCTGATTTTTACCAATTTATGAGAAAATCTATATTCAGTGTTTCTATCTGAACACTTTATTTTCAGGGACGCCAACATGCTGGTGAAGATTCTCAGTCATCCAGGTCACAGTCCATAAAAGTTAAAAAATGATCCACTGGACTTTGTTTCCCATCCAGGAAGCTTTTTCAATCAGGCTTTATAGACTTTATAAAGCCTCAAACTGGACAGTTTTTCTGGTATATTGCAAGAAAAAGCTTCCTGGATGGGAAGCGAAATGTCTTCAAACTTGGAAACCAAGTCCAGTGGATTGATTTGTAACTTTTTAGATGGGACTCAAGCAGTCTGAGCTTCGTCGTATATGGTCTCTGTCCCTGCTAGAGATCAAATCCTGACTGCTGGTGAGTTAATGATGAGTTTTGGTCATTTTATACCTAAATTAGAATCAAATCCAACATTTCACAACAAAAAAAACACTAAATTCAGCAGAACGTTCCTCTGTGCCAATAACCAATAAGAACCGAATAATAATGTGAGAGAAGTTTTTATCCCGGTTTCACATTTAGTGTTTCAGCTTTTCTACTAAAGCTGCTTCAACTGAACAACATGAAAGGAAGTTGTTTTCTTTCAGTCTGGTTCCATAAATGTCCTCATTAGTGACGAGAGGAACTTCCAGAACCCGACAGAAGCAGAACCTGTTTTTGCTTTGCAGGGAAGGCTCTGCAGACCAGACCGCTCCATTCTGCCTTCCTATAATCCAGGAGATCTGGGTGGAGTCTGGTTCTGTTGCTCGGTTCCGGCCCAGTAGGTGGATCAGGACCGAGCAGACAGGAACTCTGGCAGAGAGGAGTTGCATCATTTACATCAGAGGCGTTTCCTGCAGAGGCTGAAGCCGTCAGAATCTATCGGGCAGAGGCGTAGCCAGAACTTTTTCTAAGGGTGTCCAGAAAAATTTTTTCGGGGGGCTGAAAGGGAATAGAGGGTCAATCTACACTGGTCCAACAGGGAAATGAATGACCAAATAATCCATATTTTTAAATAAAGACAAAGTATACTTCCTACAGCCTTTGCTAACAAACAGACGCATCAATGCTTTCTAGATTAAAGGTATAGTGGATAAAATAGTTTCAGGTTTGAGTTCTGGGGCGAACATCTTTTCCATTGTCATTTCTTACCCACTTTTATCAATAAACATTCTGCATAAAATTGATGTTAAAAATACTAATATCTACATAAATTGATTATTTCGTAAGTTTTTATTAAAATAGTTATCATTTTCTCCTTACCTCATAAAACACAAAATCTAGTTCTGAAAAGAGCAGGAATTATGTACTTATCTTTAATGTGCATAATTAACCACAAAAATGTAAATGTTTTAAATATTCCACTTGAGATTATTACTGCTGCCACCGTCTGTATTAGAGGGAAACAAATGGTGGGGTGGCCAATGACTGGCTAAGGGTGGCCATGGCCACCCCTGGCTCCCCATCTCGCTCCACCCCTGCTCTCGGGTCGCAGATAATGAGGTTCAGGTCCAGAATGTGTGGAACTGGATACAGAAACACTGAAAAGTTCTGGTTCTGTGTGAACGGTTTACAGATTATCTTGCATCTCATCTATTTGATCTGATGAGTTTCTGCTGGTCTGCTGCAGAGGTCATCTAAAGTCCTGTTAATATCTGCAGGAAAATGACTCAAACTGGTAGAAACTGGTCTGCAAACAGAAGGAGAAAGGATGACAGAGACGCACCCAGAGCTGATGGTTCCAATCCCAAAATAACTTCTGTTTCACTTCTTTTGTTTCTTTTATTTCTCCATCGTTTCACTGATTAATGCAACGTTTGGCTGAGAGTCTGCAGCCAGAGGAGACTCCAGTCCTCACTCGGCATCTGCAGCAAACTCCTGCACCCAGAACCCCACATGGCAGCAGGTCCTGTGCTCCCTCTGATTCAACAGCTACACTTTAAAACAGCATGGCTGGTCCCCACAAGACCAGGAGAGTGTGGAGCAGCTGGAGATCGCAGCAGGGAAACAATAAAGGTTTTCCTGCTGGGAAAGTTTCAGAACCCAGTGGGCTGAGCAGCTGGGCAGAAGAATCTACTGGAGATAAAAGATTTAAGGAAATGAATACGACGAGTAAGGAGAGAGATTTTATTTGTCATCTGCTGCTGTTAGGAAGTCATTAGGTTTTATCTGCAAACCTCATCAGATGATAAATGAAGTGCAGCCATTCATGCACTGAAGGTTTCATCTGCAAACATGTTTGGCTTCGGGAAGTTTAAACCTGATTAAATAAGGATGTTTCTGTCCGCTGATCGCTGCATTCCGTCAACAGCTGATTCCAAGGCGCAGTTTTAAGATTTCACCATGAAAATGTGAACCTGGCTCGGAGCTCGTCGGCCTGGCTGTGTGTTTCCTGGACGGCGGCGCCTTATACAGCTGCTTTTTCCATCTCTGCTTCTGTCTCCTTGAACCCCAGTCGCCTCAGCAGATGGCCGTTCACACTGAGCCTGGTTCTGCTGGAGGTTTCTTCCTGTTCAAAGGGAGTTTTCCTCTCCACTGTCGCTACAAGCATGCTTAGTGTGAGGGATTGCTGAAGAGTCAATGAATCGATGCAATCAGCTGGTTTTCCTTAGATAGAAAACTTTGGAACTTTGTAAAGTGTCTCAAGATGACATGTGTTGTTAAATGGCGCTATAGAAATAAACTGAACTGAATTGTTGGTTGATTACTTTTCTCTTCCTAAAATGACAGGATTTATTTATTATATTAATTAAAAGTGTTACAGGTTTAGTTCAAGTGAAGACAAATCCAGTTCTGCTGATTAACCTGTTACTCTGTTGGTTTGGATTGTTTCTATGACCTAATCCTCCTGATTTCTAACATCAGTGGTTGATCACCCTGAGGAGGATTTATTAATCGATAGCAGAAAAAGGACGCACCGATCTGAAAACATGGGCCGCAATCGATAACCAATACTTCCTTTTACTTTATCAACACGATGAACGGATGTTCTCCCTGCTGATGATGTCTTTCTGTTTAGGACAACCGTCCAGGGCCGGATTTAGGAAATTTGGGGACCTAGGCAGAGTGATGGCATTTTAGCCAAAGGATTTTTATCAAAAACATAATTAATGTACTCAAATAAGGAATAGTTGTATTAACCATCATGGAAACATGGAGTTTTATGGGGCCCCCAGGAACTTGGTAGTTATGCCTAATCCTGCCTAGTATTGCCTGGTGGTAAATCCCTCCACCCCCCCTGCAACCGCTGTAATCCTTTACTGTGTCACCATCACTGGTCACATGACCAAGCCACCAAACAACCAACCGCAGGAAACAAAAACACAACAAGCTGGAAATTAGCAGCAGTTGTCAATACAGCCTGCACTCTGGGTCCCTGAGCAAGACCCTTAACCCCGCACTGCTCCCTGGGACCCCTACAATGGCAGCCCACTGCTCCCCAATAGGAAGGGTTAAATGCAGAGTTCATTTCTCCAATAGGAGATGAATAAAGTTTAATTTGACCATCATGAAGGATCTGATGCTGAGGCCGATCCATCAGACCCTGATACTGATCATGACTGAAGGATCTGATGCATCGTTTTATTTTAACCCTTTATAGGGCCCTCAGTAAATCACTTTTTTCCACTCAATAATGTTTTTGGAATCCAGGATAAGACCTTATTACCTTTGCAACATTCAGAAAATATGGATATTTTAATGGAAAAAAATCTATTTTAATGTAAACACAAGAAACGCAAACTTTCCCAAATATATTAAGAAAAATAACAAAAGTGTTTCTATAAGAAATTCATTAAAAACACATTTTTTGGCCCAACTTAACCTTAGAGGCATTAATGCTGATAACTGACATTCTATAGTTTATAAACCTAAATATAATTGCTAAAGTAAGAGCATGAATGAATGATTAAAATATTTAGTTTGTTTTTAAATATTGGTTGTTATGGTTTGAGTCAGAAGTTTAAATGTTAAATCAGGATTTAACCTTTTAACCTCTCCTAATGATCCAGATCAACTCTTCTGATCTTTTCTACCCCCCCACCACCCCCCACCCCATCCGGGGCAGGTTTTCCGGGTTTGGCCCCCGCAGCGGGTCCCTCATGTTATCCTCGGCTGGGGAACCAGCCGCAGGGGACCCGCTGTGACCCGGACCTCCAGAGAAGCGCTCAGATTTTGGAGGATTTTCTGTTTAACCTCTCAGCTCAGGGTGGATCGGCCTTCTGACGGGGAACGGAACCGGAAGTCAGTGGAGCAGAACTCTGAGCCCAGAAGCCCGGGTGCAGATCCTCCTCCTGCAGCCCGGATCCACCCTGAGCTCTAACCCAGCTCTCAGACCCGAACCTCGCCGCTCACCTGCACTGCTCGCTGGTCGCTGGGTGCGGAGCGGATCGATGGCCCTGATGTGCCCGCGGTGCTCCAGGTGTCTCCCGGCGGCCCGCCTCCTCTTCTACATGCTGGGGAGAGTAAACCCGGAAACCGGCGGCGCGCAGCTCCGTTAACTATAAAAGGAGTGATTTCCTCACGAGGAACTGGAGCGTCAGCCAATCAGAGCGCAGCAGGAGGCGAACTGAGCGGCGCGAGCTCACAGCACAGAGCATCGGAACCAGTCCTTGTCCAAACCCAGCAGCTCTGCCCAGAACCAGACTCCCTTTAGAATCCACCTGGAATAAGACAAGTTATCCAGTTCTCATCTAATCTCGCGAGTTTTTCTGTTTTAACAATAAATAAAAACTATTTTCATTCACTTTTCTTTAATTCGGCTCACAAACTAAACCTGCTGATAAAACGGTTCTGGTAAATAGCTGCTAAAAGGAAACATGACTTCAGAGTTTTTACTTCCACCACCTAAAAAATTCAAACCTGCTTCTTTAAATATATAAACACACTTTATTATATTTAATCTGACATCATGGATTCAAACTTAGAAGTTTATATTCTACATGTTTCACTAATTCACTAAAGGCCCAGTTTATTTATGCGCACAAAGTAAAGACACTTTATGAGATGAAAAAGTTTGTTAAGTTGCTGCTGCCATCAATGCCTTTATTTATAGATGTTTGTGATCAGCCTGTTTTTCAGTGTAGTCCTGTTTCTCTGACTGTGACTAACTGGATGTGCTCTCTTCATCTTCTGACATGGGAGCTGGCTTGGAGCTCGTCTGTGTTTCCTGGAGGGCCCGCCTGTGGAGCTGGTTGACAGTTGCCTCTTTATCTATCTCAGCTTCTGTCTCCTTGAACCTCAGCAGATGGCCGCTCACACTGAGCCTGGTTGTGCTGGAGGTTTCTTCCTGTTAAAAGGGAGTTTTTCCTCACCACTGTCACTACAAGCATGTTTAGCCTTTGAGTCAATGAGTCGATGCAATCAACTGGTTTTCCTTAGGTAGAAAACTTAAAATAAATCTGACTGGATGATCTGGTGAACTGGAAAGAGCCTTGAGATGACATGAATTGGCGTTATAGAAATAAACTGAATTGAAAACGGAATGAAGTTAAAACTTAAACTAATTCAGTTCAGTTGGATCCTAAATGTGAGACAAGATACTTCAGCTAATCAACACTCAAACGTTATCTGTGTAGAAATGTCAGCCAATCGCATCAAACTGAAGGGATGTTTGGATTTATTTCAGATAATCAGTAAAATTACATCGAACGTTTAACTTACTGCTTATGTCTGAACATTTTTGGCTTATTCTCTGGGAAAGGAATCCATGTGACTGATGATGACAGCAGCTCAGTTTAGAACCAGAGACATGTGGATCCAGTGAAGCCAGCTGTCTTCTGGGATGTTCCTCGCATGTAGATCCAGTAAAGAGGTCCATGGAAGGAGCAGCACTGATCCAGCATCTGGGTGACCAGATGTCTTTGATGCAGACCCTGATCTGCTGAAGCTTCCTGGGTCTTTCAGCAGAATAAACTCTGAAATGGTTCAGGACAGACAGCTGGACACATCTCTACCTAGGAGTTTATCAGAGACGACAAAGACCTGGACTACAGAGAAGAGGTGGAGCAGCTGGTGGACTGGTGCAAAGATAACAGCCTGATCCTGAACTTGGAGAAGACCAAGGAGATCATGGTGGACTTCAGGAAGAACCGTCCTAATACGCTCCTCTGGTCATTAACAGCTCAGCTCTAAAGGTGGTCAGCAGCACCAAATTCTTGGGGGTGCACATCACAGACACCCCCACCTGGACTGTAAACACCACCTCACTGGTCAAAAGGACCCAGGAGCGCTTGGACTTCCTGCGGAGGATGAGGAGAGCCCACCTGCCCCCCCCCCCCCATCCTCCCCACCTTCTCCAGAAGCACCATAGAGAGCGTTCTGACCAGCTGTCTCACTGTGTGGTGTGGAGGCTGCAGCGCCTCAGACTGGAAGAAGGTGAGAACAGCAGAGACGATCATGGGGGCTCCTCTTCCCTCCATTAAAGACATTTCATCCCAGCGCTGCGTGTCTCGAGCCCGTGGCATCATCAATGACCCCCCACCATGGACTGTTCTCCCTGCTGCCCTCTAGGCTTCGAAGTATCCGCTGCACATCCAGCAGGTTCCCCACTGCCATCAGATTGCTGAATTGTTGAATAAAAAATAAATAAAAAAAGCTGAATGTTGGTAAATCTGTAAATCATATCTCAGTCTTATGTTTACTTTTAATCACTGTTGCAATTTGAAAATAATTTTGTGTAAAAGGACAATAAGGTTTGTCTAAGTCTTATCAACAAGTTGATTAGTGGAGGCAGCTCCCAATATCCTCTGAGACCTGAAGGACCTGCTGCCACCAAGATGGTTAGATACTTCAGAGGGTCTTTATTATGAATAAAAGGTAACCATGTGATTCAGTTTAGTGTCTTTCATCATAACTGTAAAAATGTAAATCCCTTTATCGTCCCACAATGGGGAAATTCACTCTGCATTTAACCCATCACCTAGGGCAGCAGTGGGCTGCCATGTGCAGCGCAGGGCTTAAGAGTTTTGCTCAGGGACCCAGAGTGGAGGCTGTGGGGATCGAACCGGTTACATGCAACCTTCTCAGAGCACAAGCTCACTGCTCTAATCACTAGGCCAACACACCCCCAGCCACAACAGTGAAGGCATATTTAAAAAAAAAAAAACATTAGGGTTTTAAGCACACCCTTTCAAGTCGTACTTGTTGGGATCCTCAGGCTTGCCCACCAGAGGGCGCCGAGGATCCTCTTCTGTCTCTTGTTATTGTCTTTTAGGACTGGAGTTACTGTTGGGATCTGGACATTACCCTCTGTCTCCAGCAGAGTGCGCCGTGGGTCTCCTTGGGCTGGAGTCTTCCAGCACACCTGATGTCCATCTACTCATTAGGAGACCTTCCCTTTATAAGCTCCTGCCAGACCTTGCTTCCATGCTGCAGTGTTGATCTTAGTTTGGTTAGCTACCTGAGCCTCTGTTACTGATTGAATCTTAGTTGTCTCAAGTGTGAGATCAGATTCTAATCTCTCCTTTGTCTGTGCCTCACAGGAAACCTGTCTCTGGCCTGAAGCTCTGGGAGAGCCAAACCTGCTAATCTGCCCTGGTGAGCCAACCTGAAGATTCCTATGTGGAGTTTACCTGAAAAATCCTATGTGGATATTCCCTGTTGTTCTCTGCAATGAGCTGGAAGCTCAGCCTGAAGAATCCTATGTGGATATTCCCTGTTGTTCTCTGCAATGAGCTGGAAGCTCAGATCAAGGTCTGCCATGCTAAGCCTGAAGCTAGACGCTTAGCTTCTCATAAACTCTGCTAACCAACAGTCTCCGGTCCCAGTCAAGATTTCAGTGAACCAGTCTCAGAACTTCTTTATGATCTCGTGTTCAGAACTTTTAATAAACATTTGAACTTTTTCCCTGCCTCCTCCGTGTGTGTTCTGCATATGGGCTTGCTCCTTTGATCCGTCATGACAGTACTCAAGTGCATGCTTTCCTTTTTGATAAAGCTTATCGTTAGAGTGGCTCAGGTTATCCTGAGCTATCTCTATAGTTATGCTGCTATAGGCTTAGACTGCTGGAGGACATAGGGACCCCTTTTTCATCATTCTGCTTCATTCTATCTCTATTCTCCCACTCTGCAGAATCTCTTAGTTCAATCTCTAACGTTCTGCTCTCTCTGCTTTTTCTCATAGTAGCTTCATCTGGTCTGTTCCTGTTTGGCTGTGACTCCATCCTGGAGAGAAATATCAGCTGTGCTGCTGCCATCAACACCTATGTTTCTAGATGTTGGAGACAATTTTCCAGTGTAGTCCTGTTTCTCTGACTGCTGGATGTGCTCTCTTCATCCTCTGATATGGGAGCTGGCTCGGAGCTCGTCCGCCTGGCTGTGTTTCCTGGACGGAGCCGCCTGTGGAGCTGGTTGACCGTAGCCTATCGTATCTCTTCTGTTTAGTTTATCTCTGCTTCTGCCTCCTTGAACCCCAGTCGGCCTCAGCAGATGGCTGATCACACTGAGCCTGGTTCTGCTGGAGGTTTCTTCCTGTTAAATGAGAGTTTTTCCTCTCCACTGTCACTACAAGCGTGCTTAGCCTTTGAGTCAATGAGTGGATAAAATCAGCTGGTTTTCCTTAGAAAACTTTCAATAAATCTGACTGGATGATCTGGTTTAACTGTAAAGTGCCTTTAGATGACATGTGTTGTGAATTGGTGCTATAGAAATAAACTGAATTGAACTATAATATTTCTCTTAAAACAAAGAATAAAGACAGTTGAAGGCTGTAGGTTGAATACATGCTTAGGCATTTTGTTGTGAGGCATAACAGGAATATCTGACCTCACTGTCAGGAAGAGGATCTCAGCACCAAACAGTTTCAGCTGCAGCTGTTGTGGGTTTAGGTGCTGCTGTGAGGCCAGAGCTCTGCTGCCCCCTGCTGCTCAGGATTAACCTTACAGCCTTTATCCCGGGAACCTGAACCAAAGGCCGGAAGGAGAGATGGTCCATGTTCCTTTGGATGGGAGGGGGCAAAACAAGGCAGGTTGTATTATGTTCTTAATATTAAAAAGCAAAACGAGAAAAAAAAATTGTAACTGAGAAATCAAGTCCAATTTTTTTTTTTTTTTTTTAAGCGAGCCAAGAACAGCACCTTGAGGAACCCCACATTTGATCTCTCTTTGTTCTGATATACTAAAAACGTGTTGATTCCTTCTTTATCATTTTTTACTGATCAGGATTGTCTTTTATTTTTTCTTAAAACGATGTCAAAATTCAAATTCTTCGAAATGATTGGTCACTTTGATGTAAACTGAACAGAACCAGCAGCACAAGATCACTTCTTTTAAAATGTGCTGCTTGGTCGGATATTTTTGTTTTATGGCTTTTTTAGCAAGACATCATGTTTATGCAGGAGCGGATTTAGGAAATTTGGGGCCCTAGGCAAAGACAGGCAGGGGGCCCTCTGATTGAGAAGACGACACATAAAACAGACACATTCTACAGATAGAGAAATGTTAATAGAATAGAAATCCATTATTTGTTCTAGGTTTTGTCCCACTCTGGTCATTTTTCTTGTTGTTTTCCTCTTTTGTCCCTTTTCTTTTCATATTGGCAGTGTGCTCATTAATGCTGTTTCAAAAGGAATGAAAGATTTTACAATGACCAACACCTCTCTAACTTAGC